GCGGGCCCACCCCAGGCCCACTGACATTCTGCTACGGTTGCTTTATTATCTGTCCATCCGTCTGACTGTCCAGGTCTCCCAGGCAGGTGGGACTGGAGGTTGATGCTTCTGGGGTCACAGCTTGGTCCCCGGGTGGGGTCTGCCCCCACAGGTGGCCCAGGCGCTGTCTTGTTCTCCGCAGCTACAGCCCGAGGGCCTGCTGGTGTGGGTGCTGGCCGGCGCCCTGGGCCTCAGCCTGGCCTTCTCCCTGCTGGCGGTGCCTCTGCAGTGCTTCCGGCTCCGCAGGACCTACGGCGTCTGCCTGCTGCTCTTCTACCTGGGCTTCCTGGCCGTGGCCTTGCTCACCGAGTTCGGAGTGATTCACTTGAACAGGACATGACCAAGGCCACCTGTGGTGTGTTGGTGGCACCGAGGGGGCTCCTGCAGCCTCCTGCTGGGGACTGGAGTGGGCAGCTCTGCAGGTGGCTCTTGCTGCTGGGGCACATCAGCTGAGCCCCTCGGGCCTGGACCCCAGCCCCGCTGCTGGCCTCTGGGGAGTGGCCTGGCTGTGGCCTGACTCCAGCGGAAGCCAGACCTCCTGAGTGACCCAGAGTCCTCAGAGGGAAGGGCTGGGCCTGGGGCAAAGGAGTCGGCCTGGCTGCGGCCCTGGCGACCTGCCCTCCCTCTCGCTGGCCTTCGGGCCTCCTGCTCCCTCAGGGTGAGGGCCCAGGTGAGCCCCCCAGTGTCGGACCCACAGGGACGGCCCGCGGAGCTCTCCAGTTGCCAGGTTCCCAAAGCCACAAGAACCAGGCGGATCAGCACATCTGCTCAACCAGGACTGCAGCCCTCGGGCCATGGTCCTGCCACATACAGGGCCACACGTGGGACGGTGGCCTGGACTCTAGAACTCGGGGCTCCCACGCTGCATACCAGGAGTTTGCCCACGGGCCTGCGCCCACCTCAGGGACTGCCAGGGCCTCTGGCCTTCTCAGGAAGCAACTGCTGCCCACTGTCCTATGCCCTTGGTCAAGAGGGACTCGCCACCTTTTTCCCAAATTAAAAAAAAAGAAAACAGTATTAAATATTTGAAGTATTTTCTGAGCAGCACAGACTTGGCCATCCTTCTGCAGCCAGGGCTAGGTGGTGACTGGCTGGTGGCAGGCCCCTTGGCAAGGCTGGGGCTGGGGGCCTGGGACGGCCAACGTGGGACCTCTGCCCTCTCCCCCACACAAGTCACGGGGCAGCAGCCACATGTACAAAGCAGAGGCTTTTATTAATACGCCAGGAATCCAGGGACACGGCGGGTCCCCAGGTAACAAATCACCTGTACAAGACCCCGGCATCGCCCCGCCGTCATACAAAATGATTGTCTGCAAGGTGGAGTAAGGCTGGGTGGGGAGAAGCAGGGGACAGGAGGCATCCTCCCCAAAGTGCCACCGCCTCACAGGGAAGGGTGCACAGGGCCATGCTACCCCTGCCAGGATGTGACCCAGCTGGTAGCAAGGGTCACCTGGTCCCCTTCAGCTGTAACAGGTGAGGGAGGCATCTGAGCTAGAGGAGGTCCCAAGACACTCAGGGATCACATCTGGGGTGACAGCTGTCCCCTGCTTGGTGGGAGAGCTTGAGGGTCAGCTGGACAGGACCACAGGGAACCCTGTGGAGACAGCTGTCCCCAGTCCCCCCTCCTGTCGGCACACCTTGCCCACCTGGTTCTGACTGAAGCCAGGGGCTCTGCCAGGCCAGGGCTGGGAATGGACCGGGCACCCCTGGAACAGGGCCGGCCTCCTGTTGGGGGCTCAGCCCCCGGGTAGAGGAAGGGACCAGAAGGGCCCTGGGTGCTCAGGTCAGGAACCCCTGTCCTCCTCTAGCAACTGCCCCCTCCCTGCTTCCAAAATGCCCGTTTGAATACACAAGGTAAAAGGCACCCGGTTGTGCAAATGAAGTCCCTTCTCTGGAGAGAAGGGTGTGGCCTGGGGCTCCACATTGAGCTCCCGCATGGCCAGTGGCCCTCCAAAGACCAAGAGGCAACGTCAGCCTCCTGACAACCCCGGGATCGCGGCTTAAGGACTCAGTTTCCCCAAGGGCTTTAAGAGCGACCCCCCCCCCCCGCCTGCCCCAGGCCTGCAGAGGCTGCTGCAGGCCGCGGGGCCATGGGGATCAGGCTCCGGGGCCCTCTGTCCACCCCTTGCCCCAGGCCGCAAGAAGCGTGGAGGTGGCTGGAGCCAGGTTGGCCCAGGACGCCAGGCTGGTGCCTGCTCCTGGCTGTCTATCCTCCCCTGCATCTGCTGGCACCTGCCAGGACAGCTGGGCCAAAGCCCCCTCTGACCTCACTCTGCCACCACCACCAGCACTGCCTTGCTCGGACACCCCGGGACGCCCATGGCTGAGTGTCTGCCTGGACTCCTGGCCAACCAAGGTCAGGCCAAGCCCACTCTGGCCTCAGCGCCCAAGGTGCGGTGGGGGCTGTTCTGGGGCTGCCACTGTTTGTCACCATGATTGTCCCTGAGTGGCCTGCTCCAATCCAGCAGCGAGGATACACACACGTGTGAAGGGCCACCGCTGTCCCCGGCATAAGCTGCCACCCCAGCGGATCACAAGGAGAGGGAGTGAGCCGAGAGGTCCCTCAGGAACCGGCCAGGCCCTGGGCCTCTCGCCTGCCCCTCTTCTTGGTGGCCTGGATTCTGCACAAAGTCACTGTAGAAGGACATCCAGCAACAAGGTCTGGACCGCAGGGTGGGAGGGGCTCGGGGCAGCTCAGGGGGCAGGATCCCAGGCCAGCTAGTGCGTCTCCAGCGCCCATCTGGCTCCTGAGAGCTGCCCGAAGGCGAGACCTCAGTCCTCCTCACTCTCCCACAGGTCACAGGTGTGGCCCACAGGAGCATCTATGACACCATCTATGACACTACCCAGGGCACTTGGGTTCCTTCCTTCCTTAGTGGTTTTGTCCCTAGAGCCAGACACAGGTGCTGTGACAGGGCCACGGGATCAGTGGGGACACTGGTGGGTGGGAGCCTGCCTGTGAGCCCAGCAGGGACACGGGGGGTGCTGGTCTGACCAGGGCAGCCTGGTTATCAGGCCAGGCTCGGGGGGGTTCCATAAAGGGGTTTCTGGAGCCCTCCACAGTGGCCGAACGCACTGGCCAAGGCCCTCAACCGGCCACCCTGGGCTTCAGGAAGACGGGCCAGGCGACCCAAGGTCAGCTGGTCCTCGGCTCTCCTCTCTGCAGGTGTGTGCATCCATGTGAGGCGTCCACGTATGCGATGTGCGTCCCCACGTCCTCTTGGTACATGGTGGGAAGGTAATACTACGTGTTATTGCATAGAAGAGACGGCGTCCCCACTGGGGCTAGGTGACGGTCTGGGAGCGCGGGCGGCCACCGGGGGGCTGCGGGGCAGTGGGGATGGTGACGCTGCCCAGCTGCTTCTCCTGCTCCCGAGCGTGCTCCTCGTACCACTCCTAGGGAGAGACGGCGTGCTGAGGGCCACCCTCCTTGCCCGCCCTGCACTGCCCCCGCCCCAGCTGGGGGATGGGGCAGATGTGCCGGCCCACCCCCTGGGCTGGACCCCTGCCCTACCCATGGGAGTCCTGGGGTACCACTCTCCCTCAGAGGTGGCAATGAGGCCTCTTCTCTGTGCACAGAGGTGGGCACCCTGACAGAGGCCCAGCAGTAACAGTGCCCACCCACGACGGGCATTCACAAAGGGATCCCCCGGGCCACCCCTCTGATCTTGGCACAGTGGGTCCCCACCCAAGGAACCCAGGCTCCAAAGCTGTGTGGAGCTGGGGTCTAACTGCTAGATGCTGCTGCCCCCCGAGAGGGCAGCGAGCCGTTCAGAGGGGTCCACTTGCCCCCCCCCCCAGGCCTGTGTGGAGCAGTAGACTTCCAGGAACTGGGTATGAGGATGATGGCGTTAAGGATTGTCACCCCACATTTTTAAAAGAACTTGAAACACAGACTGGTGGGTGGGAGCCTGCCTGTGAGCCCAGCAGGGACACAGGGGGCGCTGGCCTTGTGAGGGCGGCCTGGTTATCAGGCCAGGCTTGGAGGGTTCCGTAAAGGGGCTTCCAGAGCCCTCCACAGCGGCCAAACGCACTGGCCAAGGCCCTCAAGCGGCCACCCTGGGGTTCAGGAAGTACCCAGGTACCCAGGTCACCTCAGGGCTGTGCCTCCTCCATGGCCTCAGCAGGAGGGAACAGAACTGCAGAAGGGCAGCCTTCTCCCAGGAGGGGATCCCACGTGTTCCTGAGCACTCGTCCCCACTGCTCTGTCCCCTGTCACAGGTGGGAATGGAACCCAGAGCTGGGCCCAACACCGTTTCCATGTCTCTGACCCTAAGCTCACTGGGCACTGCCCCTCGGCCCAGGAAGTCCAACTAGACTAAAGGGCATCGGTGTCACGGCCCACGTGGCGCTCGGGTACTCAGCACAGTCACCAACATGGAAAGGTTGGGAGATGGTGGGAGGGAAGGAACTGTAACTTCTCTTTTCTCTTAAAAACAAAACAAAACAAAAACAATCGGCCAAACCCTGCGGTGGGCCATGCGCAGGGGGTCACTCCCACCAGGTGACACTTGGCTGCAGGTGAAGGAAGGCGGCCCCTTCTCTGGGCAGCACATCCTCGTCCAAGGGGCCATGTCCCCAGCCCTCCCTGTCCCTCCTGCTGTGCATAGTTGAGGCTGCAGCTCCCGCTCAGAGTGACAGGTGCTGGAGACTCATCAGGGCAGTGGCACCCAGGACAGGCCACTGAGCCAGCTGTCCGTCCCGACACCTCAGGCACTGGCGGCCCCTCCAGGATGCCGCTGGGCAGGGTGGCCGTGGGCCCTACCTGGATCTCCTCCTGGTACATCTTCAGGCTCAGGTCGCTTTTGGTCCTCGATCTCCGTCCCAGGAACGTCAGGGAGTTTTGCTGGAGAAGGGCGAAGGCTACTGGATGTGGCTGCAGGGCCCCCCATGCTAAGGCCTGGCCTCCTGCCACCCAGGAGTGCCACCGACACTAGTGGGGAGGGGAGGGGAGCAGCTACTAACCCCGCCCCTCACCTGGTACTTCTCCATCTGCGAGAGGGTCTCGAGCAGCCGGGTGACGTCGGAGGCGGCCCCGGGCGCCCCCCGGTAGAGCTCCAGCATGGCCACCAGCTCCTCTTTGGAGATCTCTTTCTCCAGGGTGATGCCACTGTCAACTGCAGGGAGGGGTGGTGTGGAGCCTGCAGCTCTGCAGCCACCTCCCTGGGGCCCCCTGCGGGGTCCCACGTCACCCCCTCCAGCTGGCATCTGGGACCCCCTCCCTTCTGCTCTGGGTGTCAGCCTCCTGCAGACAGAGGCCTCGGGAGGGGCAGATTGTTCCCAGAGAGAGAGGGGACACGTGGGGACAGGTGCACAGGCAGCTCTAGTGGAGCAGCTGGAAATAAGGGGTCAGTATGAAGAAAGCGGGGCATCTGGGGGCACCACCTTCCCAAGGCCGGCCGCAGAGGGAGCCCCTGCTGGCCTCTGCCCAGTCGGCTGCGTCCACAGCGCCTCAACCGCAGTGGCACAAACTTGATGTTCAGAACGTGGCGGAACTAACAGAGGAAACGGCTCGTACCGCCTCCCCCAGCCAGGCCGAGACTGGGCTCTCCACTGTCCCTCTGGTTCCAGGCTCTGGGGGCCAGGCAGAGGGACGAGGGGCGTGGCTGCCACGCCAGGCCCTACTCTGTCCGACCTTAAACTGTGACACGCACATCTTTAGTTTAAAATGAGGTCATGAGCACTGTTCTGCTATCAGATGGTGGAAAATCAATACAAGGAGGAGACCTAGGCAGGAGGGTCCCCAGGGGCGGACAACCATGGTCAGCTGAGACAGACAGGCAGGCAGGCAGAGGGGCACCAGTGCCCGAGACGCGCCCCAACAGACCTTCCGAGCCCTGGTTCTGGCGGCTGTAGTTCATTCGGAAGACGAAGGCTTCCAGGATGAAGGCCACGATGATGGTCATCACCACCTGGCCGGGAGGGAGGGGTGGGTCAGTGGCTGTGAGCACCCTGGGAGCCCAGTTAGGTGCTGCGGCCCAGGTGCGGGCAGGGCCTACCATGGTCACGATGTAGAAGGTCATGAAGTACAGGCGGCTCCAGTGGGAGGTCTGCGAGGTGACCCCTTCCTGTAGAGCAAGTGGGGGGTGGGTGGGGCGGCTCCAGGCTGTCCCTGGCCCTGCCCAGGACCAGGCCTCCCCACTCCACAGACCCGTCCTCATTTGCTTTTGCTTGTGGAGGACAGAGGAGAGGGTCCTTGCTCCCCTGGGTCTCAAACTTCCTTCCCACCACAGAAGCCTGGGGTGCGACCCGGGAAGGCCGGTGGCCCTGGGGAATCTATCAGAAGAAGAGTGGGCTTGGGGAGCTCAGAGAGGGGGACGTGTGCCCAGCGCTTCCCTTCAGAGACAGCGTCTCCCCACGTGGCCCAGATCCCACCTCGGCCTTCTGAACTGGGACCTCAGGCCACACGGCCCCTTGATACCCACGTGGGGAGACAGCCAGGCTCGGGCGGCGTGGGGCTCGGGATGGGGAGGGTGATGCCAGCCTGTGCCACGGCCCCCACGGAGCCTGGCCAGCCTGACGTGGGCCTCCAGGCCCTGCGTGGTGAGGGGCCCGAGGATGAGGGAGCCCCAGCGCTGAGCCCTTACCATGATGATGTACCAGTTGTTGACAACCGTGAGCTCAAACAAGGTCACTGCGGAGGGAGGGGAAGGGGCATGCGATCAGAGCCCTCCTTCCAGACAGCTCAAGGCCACTCCCTCCCCTGGACACAGGCACCAAAGCCACAGAGTGGACACAGGCCAGCCTCCCTGGGCACCTGTTCCGTGGGGAGTCCTGCCATCTTGTCCTTTCCCCAAAGGGCACCCCCTTTGCCTCGACAGCCCGTGACGGCCCAGGGCTGGGGCAGGTCTTTCCGGGTGCAGACCTGCGCTGTCAGGAGGGGCCCCCTTCCCCACCCGGCAGGACCACGTCCCTCCACCCCTGCCCCCATAGGGGGGACAGGACGGAACTGGGGTAGGCCTCAGCCGGGGCAACGTAGGACCCTGTCACAGCATTAGTGTGGCTGGGTCCCTCTGCGGCTGGCACTGTGGTCTGCGCTCTAGTGCCAGCCTGCACCCTCTCAGCTGAGGCGTGAAGTCCTTTCCCCCAAACTGGGGAAGTTTCAGGCAAAGGAATAAAATCTGGTGGCCGAGGAGCCCTCGGCCTGGCCTGGACTCCAGCCCTCCAGCGGGGCCAGAAGGGACTCCACAGAAGGGTGGCCAGTGGCTCAGGAGGGACAGCAGTGCCACCTCTGGGGCCTGCGGTGACAAAGGCAGCCGCCCCCGACTCACCGAAGCTGTTCAGGATGTTGTCGAAGTTGTTGAGGTAGTAGTAGCCCTCCTCCACCACCGTGCTGTTGCCCTCTGTGCGGTTCAGCCAGCGGTAGGCGTCCGCCACCGTGCTGGTGCTGGGGAGGCGGGGGCAGGCGGGTCAGGACACGGCTATCACCTCTGGGCCAGCTTGTGTAGACGAAGCCCAGGCTGGCTCTGCTGTTGGCCGGGGCGGGGTTTCCTCCCAGCCCTCTCTGGCCCCTGACCCTGCTGGCTCTGCCCCCAGCTGCCTTCACCAGGCCTCTCACAGCTCCAAGGCCACCTCTGCATGTGCCCAGCAGAGGGCAGCTCCGAGGCGGCACCTTGCTCCGGGCTTCCAGAGCTTCGCCCCTGTGAGGAGGCCGACTTCCCTTCCCCACTCGTCCTTTGTGACCCTTCTGTTAAGTTCCACGTGAACACTCTGGAAGGTCAGCTTGGGCCACGGGGGCTTTTCAGAAGGCAGGGACCTGAGCCTCTGGCCAGTGGTGCCACCTGGCCACACAGCTGGGTCATGCCCTTGAAGAAGCTCCTCTGCTGTAAGGCCTGCACCTGGCCAGCACGGCCTCTGGCCACAAGCTCAGCTCAACAATGTCCACGTTACTTTATTAGCGCTTAGAGAGGCCACCCTGACCCACCTAAAAGAGGACACTGAACTGAGAGGTGACGGCAGCGCCTGCAGCCCTGTGAGCTGGCTCAGAAGGAGCAGGGCAGGGCGGTCACCGGCCTCCCTCCCACTCCATCTTGAGCCTCGCAGTCTTCCTGCCATGTGTCCATCTGTCCCATCCTAAGAGGCTGCCCCTAGGTCCCTGGCCACTCCTGGAAGGAAGTGACTCGAGCCACTGTGGTCTGGGGAAGGGCAGCTGCAGGCAGCACAGCTCCTGAGCCCTGCTGGGGTCCGGGGGACTTGCTCCAATCCCCTCACCTGAGTTGACCCCGTCCAGAGCCCCCCTGTGGTGCTGGGCACCCTGAGCACCCAGAGCCACACAGAACCACCCCGGGCCTGAAGGTGCCGTGGCTTGACAGGGACCTGGAGGCCGGGCCAGTGCAGCCCCAGCTGGGGCCGAGGCACAGGTGGCAGGCCTGGGGGGTACAGCGGCTGACTCACTTGCAGCAGTTGGGGTACAGCAGGCCACAGAAGAACTCCATGCCCACGATGGCGAAGGCGTAGTAGAAGATGAGCAGGGTGAGGCCGAGGCTGGGGGCGCAAAAGCACAGGTGACGGGGGGCCAGGCGGGGCCGGCTCCTGCGGTGCCCGGCCTCCTGGGACCCTGAGCTGACTGCAGGAGAGGCATGCCCCTAGCCAGGCTAGCGACTGGACCGACTGGACCAACTGGACCGTGCCTGCAGGGGAGGGGCCTGCGGCTCCCGCATGGGGTAGGACGGCTCAGTGCAGGACTCTAGGGACAGGCGCCCCTTGGCCAGAGACTCGCCCTTACCTGTGAAGGCAGGTCACAGGTGCCCTTACCTGTGGACGCAGACACGGGGGTAAGTGAGTTGGCAGCTCCCCGCCCCCCTACTAGATACTCAAGACAGGTCAGTAGAGGAGAGCGGTGCCGGGGACCTGTGTGGTCAGATCGGCCTCCTTCGAGACCCTCGACCCTCGAGTTCCAGTCCTTCCTGGGCCTCCTTGCCCCACTACCACCCAACTCCCGGCCCCCACGGGGCACGAGCCTCCTGGTGCCTGGACCTGCGGGCCAGGAGGAAGGGCAATACCTGGCCATCCGGGGCAGCAGCTCAAACATGGTGTCCAGCACGTTGCGGTATCGCTTCTTCAGCTTAAACAACCTGGGCAACGGCAGAGCGCCGTCAGGCATAGAGGCAGGACACACCCAGGTGGGGGTGTGGGGCCTCATGACGCATGCAGCTGGATGGGCCCCAGAGTTGAAGGGACGCTGCCCCTGGGGTGGAGCAGTGCCACGTCTCCTAGGGCATCAGGGGGGAGGAGGCAGCAGCCACCAAGCCCACAGAGGGGCTCATCAACAGAGGGTGGCAGCCTGAGAGGAGGGACATGCAGGCCCAGCCTTGGACACCGCAGTAGCAGGCTCTGCTTCCATGGTAGGCCCCGGCTGCCTGCCTCCCTCCTTCCAGGAAGGACGTGGGCTGCAGGTGGGCAGGCGGGAGGAGTCCCCACTTCTGAGGGGCCCAGAGAGGCAGATGCTGTGGGTGGAGGGGACCCCATGGGGAAGATGAGTCCCCTCCCAGAGGCGGGGCCAGGGAAGCACCCGGCGCCCTGCATGCCCCTGCTAAGCCAGTCTGACTGACGACTCTGGGCATATGGTATGGGTGGTGGCCAAGCTCCCATGAGCAGGATCTGGGGCGCTCACATGGCCAGGAACACGGGGCCCATGTGCCCCAGGGGAAGGCAGTGGCCCTGCTCAGGCTGTGTCTGTAGGGCTGTGACATCTGCAGACTCCAGCTCCAGGTCTCGGGCTCATTCTGGGTCCCTCTACTTCCCCAGAGTTCTTCACCCTTCCTCTGTCCCCAGCCCCTGTCACCTTAGCAGCTGGAGGGGACGCAGGACCACTATGAAATAGAAGGGTTCCATGTTGAGGGCCAGAGCTAACAGTCCCAGGAGGGCAAAGGCCGTGACGGAGAAGTCGAACCTGGTCCGGGAGAGAAGCAGGGGCTGCGAGCGGCCGGGGGGCTGGGGACCCTCCTCCATCCACTCCCCGCCTCTAAAAGCCGGGACCGGAGGGGCGAAGGCAGGCCACGAGGGGCCACGTCCAGCCAGGCCCAGGGAGCACCCTCCTGCTGTCTTATGGTCACTGAGGGCCAGCGGGCCAGGCCTGTCAGTGCAGGTCCAGGGATCAGGCCTCACACGAGCTCTTGGGGACAAACACCTGGGGGCTCTGCAATAGTCTAATGACAGAGAGCAGCAGGCACGGCCTCTGCTGTGCCCAGGACCTCTGTCACACTGGGGCCTGTCCATCCCAAGAGACCTTGTGAGGGAGAGAAGGGGACTCCGGCGAGACCCCCACCAGAGTGGGACACTGGCCCTTCCCTCAGACACATACACACAATCTCCTGGACTTTCTGGCACTTTCTCTGAGTGCTGGGGATGGAACCTGGTGATTCCTTCCTGCTAGGGGAGCGCCCAACCGCTGAGCTGGCCCCGCCTTTCTCCTTCCCTGGGATTGAGTGGTCTTCCAGGTGGCCCACGGGTGGCCCACCCTGGTCTTGAGCCTCTGGGCTCGACTTCCCTCCCGCCTTGACCTCCCAAGTCTGAGGCTGCAGTGCCCCCGCTGCCCTCCCGTCCTGGACTCCTCTGGTGGACTGGCTTGACTCTACCCAAAACGTCAAACGTCACAGGTGAGTGGCCTTCAGTGGGAGGGGAGGGACGCCTGAGCTCAAGGAGGGCAGGATGGGGCCCTCGCTGTGGGCACTTGGTTTCAGGAAAAGAGGACAAGACTCCAGAGGGGCCTAAGGGACCTCAGGGCCACTTCCTGGAGGGGGGCTGGTGATGAGGGGCTTCTGACGGGAGCTGGGCCCTAGGGGGCCCTGGGCTGTGCAGAGCTGCTCCAGGGAGATAGGCCTCTGCCCTCAGCCTTCCCCCCGCGTCCCAGGGGGGACAGGATGGCAAGGGGACTCGATGGCAGGGAGAGGACACAATGGCAGGGCACAGGGGAGGACATGATGGCAGGCCACAGGGAGGGGCACAATGGCGGGGCACAGGGGGGACAGGACACAATGGAGGGGCACAGCGGGGACAGGATGGCAGGGCCCAGGTAGGGGACAGGATGGCGGGGCGCAGGAGGGATAGGATGGTGGGGTGCAGGGAGGGGACAGGATGGTGGGGTGCAGGGAGGGGACAGGATGGCAGGGCACAGAGGAGACTCCGGGCTGGCAAGAGCGGCCCACTCACAGGTTCCAGCCTGAGGACAGGTACTCCACGGGGCCCAGGCCAGCAACTTTCAGGAACAGCTCCACCCCGTAGACTGTGGACAAGGCGGCGGTCAGCACCCCGCACCCCCCCCCCCGCTGCCCACTCAGCTCAGGCGTGTCCTTGGGGCTCCCAAGGCCACAGGGCCTGGCCCAGATGGGGGCCGACGGGGCTGCCTCATCCTCTTTGGGGATGGACCAGAACCCAGGCATTTGCTGACACACGCCCTGGGCACCTCCCATTCCAGGTGTCGTGTGGGCACCAGTGGGCGACGCTGGGCCATGCCTGCTGTCCGGGCCTGGGGTCTGGGCAGTGAAGGGGACAGCATGGTGTCAGAGAGGTCCCTGATGGGACAAGGAGGCCAGGCAGAGAGAGGGGCGAGGAGCTCACACAGAAGGAGCCTGGGCACAGGCCGAGGAAGGTGTGGGTGTGGACAGGTCGCGAGTCTCCATGCGTGTGAGCAAGGACAGCGAGAGTGGCAAGGGGCAGGTTTGCTAGGCCTGGTGAGCTGGAGGCCACTGTGCTGGGGGAGGTCAAACCTGGGCCTGGGCCTGGGCCTGGACCTGCCCTGAGGGCGATGAGAGACCCGGAGGAGGGACAGGGCTAGGCTTCCGCCCACTCCCCAAGGGTCCCTGTTTGGGGAAGCCAAGGCCCCTGGCCGCGAGGCTCCGGGAACTTACTGGTGAGAAAGACCAGGTAACTCCAGGGCACGCGCTTGGAGAAGAAGTTCCCGCCTGCAAGACAGAGGAGCCCGCTCAGGGTGAGCGGCCAGCAGGGAGGGGGCACCCCAGCCTCAGCTCACCTTTCAGCATAAATGTCTCCACGAGGATCCACATCCCGTTGACTGCTACCACCAAGTCTGAAATAGGCCACAAGGGGACAGACAGGACGGGGGCTCGGGACCCTGCAGTGGCAGCTGCGTCCCTGGTTGACTTCTAGAGAGCTCTGGGGCGAACAGAGATAGGGCCACCCCACTGAGGGGGAGCTCCCTCCTGCTCAGGAATCTCATTGTAGAGCCCAGACAGTAGGGCTCCACTCGGGGACAGCCAGGAGTGCCACAAAGCCCCCTCTACTTCACCGCCAGGACACCAGGACTATGCCCCATTGGTGTGAATGCAGGGCACATGCAGGGGGCTGAGGATGGAAAACCGTCCCCTGGGGCGACTGAGTGTGAAGGACTCCATGAGCTATTGGCAGAGGTGCAGAGCACCGAGCCCCTCACCCAGCAGGCCCTCGGCCAGGGATCCCCTAACAAGGCTCTCGCCAAAACCCAAAAGGAAGAATACAGCCAGCGGCTCCCGGCAGTGCCGCTTAAATGGTCACGCAGGCGCTGGATGAAAGATCACTGCTGGGCACAAGGCAGCCTGCGACCAGGGGGAGGAGGGAGCCGGTGGGGCCTCTAGGACACATTCACTGGGAAGGAAAGTGTCCAGTTGCCGCTGTTGGCTTCAGGCGGGGAGAAACCTTACAGTGTTTAAAAAACAAAGAAAAACCATAATGAAAGTCACCCACGGGGGAGGTGACAGGGAAAGTCTCAACTTCTTGAGTGTGTGTGTTTTGCAGATCTGACTCAGAACCGTATAAATAGTCTACATGATCAGAAGCAATTCCCCCAAATCAAAAACAAGATGAAACAAAGGAAGACAAACGCGTATCCACCCGGAGGAGGCACCCGGTGAGCCAAACAGTGGCCGGGTGGCCCAGAGGGATGCGGCTAGTCCCCACACCCCTGGGACTGTGCTGGGTCTGAGTGACTACGCCAGTGGTGTTGGGCACCTGTGCGTCAAGACCGGGGGTCCAGCCGTGTCAGATTGCAGGAGTGAGGCGGGCACCCGGCAGTCCTGAATACTGAGTATCAGGATGAACACGCAACAGTCGTTATTTACTGTTTTATTTATTTACTTATTTACCAGGGATTGAGCCCAGGGGCACTTAATCACTGAGCCACGTCCCCAGCCCTTTCTAAAACTTTATTTATATACACAGGGTCTCACTGAGTTGCTCAGGGCCTTGCTAAGTTTCTGAGCCTTGCTTTGAACTTGAGATCCTCCTGCCTCAGCCTCCCAAGCCACTGGGATTACAGGTGTGCGCCACCGTGCTCCACACAGTTATCTTTTAAAAGGTAATATGCTGGGCTGGGGCTGGGGCTCAGTGGTAGAGGTCTTGCCTCACACGTGCAACACCCTGGGTTTGAACCTCAGCACCACAGAAAAATAAATAAATAAATGAATAAATAAAAAAGTATTGTATCCACCTACAACTAAAAAATAATTTTTTTTTTTTTAAAAAGGTAGAAATGCTAGCCACTTCCATGGAAAAGCCTAGTAACAGTCACCAATCCCAAGCCAGGAGCACCCCAGCACGTCTGACTGTGGTCTCTAAACTTCATGCTAAAGGGACCGAAGCTCCTTGCAAAGACTGAATCTGCTTGAGCCTATAGTCTGGTTCTGTCCAAGAGAAGCTTCCGTGGTGATGGAGATATTCTTATCTGTACAGTTTGGTCACTGTTTGAGGATACTGAGCACTTGAAATGCTAGGGGTAACTGAGTTTTTATTTTAAATTAGCTTAGAAGTTACTAGCAGAGTCTTGGTATCCAAATGACAGGAAATATGCACCAGGGGAGCATGCAAAAAACAAGAGAAAGGACTAACAGCCCCATTTCCTCAACTGAACACTGCAAGAGGGAGAAAAGAAGAACAGGGCTTGGTGGCACATGGCCGTCATCCCAGAGGCTAGGGAGGCTGAGGCAGGAGGATCTCGAGTTCAAAGCCAGCCTCAGCAAAAGTGAGGCATTAAGCAACTCAGTGAGACCCTGTCTCTAAATAAAATACAAAATAGGGCTGGGGATGGGGCTGAGTGGACTAATGTCCCTGAGTTCAATCCCTGGTACCCCCCACCCCCAACAAAGAGGGAGAAAGGGATGGGAAAGAACCTGCAGATTCAAACAGCCTGAGGAGAAACAGCAACCTGTTCTGGAACGTGTCTGAACACATCCTTATCTAAACGGACGAGGAGCTGGAATGAGGGTCCAGACCACCAGGAAGGCCTGGCCTGCGGTGACATCTGCTGTCTCGGGTGCCGGCATGGTCTTCCTCCCTCCATGTTGACTGACTAGCTTAGCGCCAGGGAGGGAACCCGGAGCCTCACACACGCTGTCCACTGAGCTACACCTGCTGACCAGGCTGGGCATCTTCTATAGTCAGATGCACAACTGTTTCCCCTCCACCGTGTAGAACAGTAAAGGCTCAGGAGGGAAGGGCCTGGAGCAGGGACAGGCCACACTTACACATGAAATACTGGAAGGCCTTGGACTTCACCAGGATGTTGATTCCTGTTTGGAGAGGAAACGTTCAAATGAAATCCTCACCTGAAGGACACTGTCCCCAGCCACACACTTCATGGACAGGTCAACCAGGACATCGATGCCCGGGGCTGCAGAGGGAGGACCTGCCTGAGGGAGCCCGTGCTTCTGCTTGGACCCCAAGGGGATGCACCTGGAGCCCACAAGCACAGCCAAGCTGTGTCCACTGTGGGACTTCTGCTGCTGCTCCTCAGCCTGGCCTACCTGTCCACCCACCTATTCAGCTAACGGTCATCCATGGGGCAGAGAAAACCCATGCCCAGCGAGGGCCCGGCTGTGGGAAGCATCCTGGTGTGCATGCAGCAGCTCAGCCTTGTTCCCAAGAGCCCAGACCCAGGCTTAGGCTGTGACACAAGAAAGTCCTTGTGGGCCAACCACACACCCACGCAGAACTGCCAAGATTCAAAGTCCTCTATTGTTGTAAACACACCAAAAAACATCAGAAAGGCCCAGGTCAGAGAGCCGAGTGGCCATCCTGGGGTGGATAAATTTCACTTTCTTCCAATGAGTTGACTTTCTAGATTTTCTTCAATGAATACTATTGCTTTGGTCTAAGTGAGGAAGCATCCAGAAGGTTCCGCTGCTGTTGTGCCACGCACACTGGGCTCTGGCTCTGCACCAGGCCACCCCCACGAATGTCTGCCTGTGGCCTCCGAGACCCCCGCCTGCCCCAGCTGTGGGTCACACTCAGGTGGACCTCACCTTTGAAGATGAGGAACGCGGTCCTGGGAAGCTCGTCGAACCAGTGCTCTCGGTTTCTCTTGACCTGCGGGGCAGTGGGCGCAGGAGTCAGGCCAGGGCATGGCCCCTCCTCCCTGCCAGCGCAGCTGACCCAGAACAGCTGAGTGACAGCAGCACGGGCAGCCACGGGGCACCTGGAGCCCGCGGGGCTCCTGCCCGACTTTCCCCTGGTCCCGACTCCCTCCAGAGGGGACTTGCTCCCACAGGTGAGCCAGGCACCTGGGAAGCTGGGATAATTCGCCTGACGTCACAGAAACTGGATGCACTTAACCACAACCCTGCGTCACCACGTGGGGGCTGACGCGGGGGCCGGGCCCTGCTGTGCGAGGTGCCAGGGGTGCACCTCTGAGGCCTCCGACCCCGCTCCCACTGGGCGCCCACCTGCCCGTCCCCCGCCCTCTCCCAGGTACTCGCCTTCCACTTGAGGGCGGTGAATTCATAGATGTCATAGAAGTCCTTCAGGCTGTCAGAGCAAAAGGAGGAGGCACATGCTGGCACCACCCGGCTCCCACTCTTACAGGGAGCAGGGGACAGCTCGTGAGTCCCAGCATGTCCTCTGATTTCCTGTCCCGGGGAACTTGGGTCACCCAATCAACCAGCCATGCTGACTGATCCCCGTGGTCCACACTGATGCTGACAGTCTCCACACCCGGGAGCAGCCGCAGAACACCGCGATTTCAAGATGGACGCTTAGTGTCCTCCAGCAGAGGCCCCGGGGAAAGGCTGGACTGAGCACACCCCAGTAGGAGGCTGCTTCGGAGCCTCAGCAACAGCCCGGAGACCCTTCTGCCCATGGAGACCTTGGCTCAGTTCTCTGCAGCTGTGCCGGGCACGTGTGTGTGCGCATGTCCACTCCCTCCGCCCACTGGACGACCCCTGCCCTGGGCTCCAGTGCCACCGGCTGGGCCAGGGCAGACGTTCCTTTTTCAACCAGCCTGCCTGGCAGTTGGACCTCTGTGACTCACAGAGGGATCCCGACACACACCATCCACCCATAGAAGCTCAGGGACAAACGAAAATCTAATGAGCCTCTGCCACCTGCTCCCACTGTCCTGGCGCCCCAGCTCCTGGGGTGAATGCCGTGTCTGGCCGCGCTGCCCCCACTGGCACCGGCTCTCACCTGAGCAGAGGTGAGTCGCTCTGATTCAGGGCCTTGAAAGTCAGAAAGCGCTCCCGGGCGCTCATCCGGGGCTTGTAGAAGCGCATTAGGCCTTCGAACTGCCTGTAGGAGATGCCCGCAGGCCTCTGGGGGACGGAGGACAGGAGGTGGATCAGGGATCCAGCCTAGACTGTTCCCCACCCAGGGCAGCCAGGCTGGATGCCAGCACACGCCCCAGACGCCTGCTCCTTCTCCCTGGCAGGACTCTGGTCTCTGAAGCCTCTGGCCCCACCAGGCTTAGGGGCTGCTCCGGGCAGGGGCAAAGCAAAGCCCACCCCTGCCCGCGCCCCTACCCGCTGGCTGACAAGGAGGCGGTAGGCGTGCTGGATGGCAGTCCTCCTGTGCAGCAGCAGAGACTTGAACTTGCGCTTCTCGATGTCACTGAAGGTGTCGAACACCACGGCCAGGAGCTGCGGGGGAGACAGAGCCTGACTGTAGGGCTGGACCAGCAGGAAGGCGTCACCAGCCAGCCAAGGGGACTGAAGACCCCCGCATGCACCCCAGGATACAGGACTCTGGTGGTTCTCCACAGGAGCCATTCACTGCCACCTGTCCCTGGCTGGGCTGAGGACAAGCGAGGGGACAAGGAAGCAGCAAGAAGGGCAGGAAGAGACATGATGGCAGTGTTCTTCCTCCTGCTCCTAGTACTTCTGCGTTAGGGCTTCATGGGTGGCCCAGAAATAAGGGCGGGAGGAGGCCGTGCTCAGGAAGCAGCCTCAGGGATGCCTGGTACCCTCAGCTCAAGGACACCAGCTGCATTACTAGAGGGCAGGGGGCGGGAGGGGGAATGTGACAGAATCCCTTTCTGGAAACACCTCATCTTTCACAGGTGTTTTGAGGATGCTCTCCTGCGCTTCCCACCTTCACATGGGCCCGCCATTTACTCTGTGCAGGTCACGATGCACGACTCTTCCCTAGCTGGGCCACACAGCCAATATTTCAGGCTATGAAGACCAGGTAGCTGCCGCCACTCCCAGCTGGCCACACCAGCCACGGAAATGAGCCAGCCGGTGGGCGTGGCCATGTGGCAATGGAACTTTACGACCTGGCATGGGCCAGGTCGCTGACCCTTGCCCCAGACTGTTGCGCCCACGACATTGTATAATTTTTGGTTTTCACCCACGGTTCCTGCCCCGACTGCCTCCCAAAGCCAGCCACAGGAGGGAGAGGGCCTCCTCCCTGAGGTGGTCACAGGAAGCCAAGCTCCCATCCAACAGGCCACGGCCCCTCGCCTTTCCACAGGCAGCTGTCCTGTGGCCTAGAGGAGAGGCTGCCCAGAGAGGCCGAGTGCAGGCGGCAGGGCAGGGGACAGTGAGGGTGTGGAGGCTCTGACAGCCTCCCTGGGCCTCCACCCTTCGTGGCTGCACTTATGACCCTGAGTTCGGGAGTACCTCCAGGTGGCTTACGGGTGGAGAGAAGGCCCCACCCTGGAGAGGTCCCAGGAGCCTCTGTGACTGTGGTGTGAGTGAGGGGACAAGCCCTTGCTTTTCCCAACAGACAGTTCTAAATAGGTCACAGGGTAGGGCTTACGCAAGGGGGTGGGAGGTCACTGTCTTTCTTTTAAACTTGGTCATAAAAAGAAAGTGTCTTCTTTTTTTGAAACTAGAAATGTCTAGATTTCACAAGTCTGCCCAGAGAAAGCGTCTTCCATGTCCATCTGAGCTGAACTCCGTGACAGTGTAAAATGCTTTCTGGAAATGACCAATAAGCCTAACAGGCTGGGGGCAGCTCACTGGGGAATAGCACTGGCCAGCACCCAGTCCCAGCCTCCCCCTCAGGGACAAAAAGCCCCCTGCCAGCTCTGGCGCTGATGCGTGGTCTCACCCAGCACTGGCGGGGACCTGGATGACAGCCTTGTGGCCAGCCTCTCTCAGCAGGCACCCCCAGAGCCCTCAGGGTGCACGTCTCCTGAGTGGAGGGTGCTCCAGCTAGATCCTGGGGTTCCTGATGAGTGGGGCACAGGCACACAGTGCTCCTGGCCTGTGGGCACAGGGCAAGGGTGGCTGGGCAGGGCCCCGGGGTCTGCCCACAGGGCCACACTGGGCTGTGCCCTGGGCTCACTCCTCTATTGGTCTCACGCTTGCAGTTTCTGCATCTGTCGCAGTCACAACAGCCCCTGGCTGGGGGGTGGGGTGGGGGGTGAGGTGCTCCACCCTCAGGTCTGAAGTACCCTGCAGCCTGGCTGGGCAGGGTGGAGGCCAGTCTCCAGAGTCACTCTGTCTGTGCTTCAAGAATGACAAGATCCCTGAGCAGCCATGGCCTGAAACCCAGCACCATCGGCAGCAGCACTGACCCCGAGAGGATGCCACCAATAGGGGGACCTGACACAGTCCCCAAACGTCACACCTGCCAGGAGCCTGGGCCCCACCCGTGGCCCGCCCAGCCTCTTACCAGGTTCATGATGAAGTACAGCTCGATGGACAGGTATACGATGAAGAAGGCGCAGGACCAGGGGCTCCGGGCATAGGCGGGCATCATCACATCTGGGAAACTGACGCGCACAGGGTCAGCCGCGGGGCCTCCAGGGACATGCCTGGCGCAGGACAGTTCCCTGCGCAGCCCACACTGGGCCCTGAGGCTGAGCCCCGAGTGGAGCATGGCAGCCGAGGTGTGCAGTGCCCTTGGCTGGGCTCACGGAGGACGAAGGGGAGGGCGCCCGGACTCACTTGGCCGTGGTCAGGAGGACGAACAGGCTGACGATGCTGTCCTCCAGCGTGTGGAAGTACTGCGGGGGGCGCAGGGACACATGAGGGCACACTGTGGCCAGGCCACCTGCAGCGCCAGCCCTGCCCACCTGCTCCCCTCCCCCTGAGAAGTCCCTGGGAGGGCAGAGCACGGAGGCACCCTCTGGCAGGGGCAGGCCACCAACTTCGGGGGACATGTCTGGGCAAGGAGCCTGGTCCCTGCACTGCTCTGCCAGTGTCCTGGCATTCCACCCTGGTCTTGGATGCCCTCCTCAAGGGACAGGAGGGACTGCCTCAGCCCTGAGCTGACCAAGAGCTCAGGTCTGTGGCTCTCAGGGGCCAGGAGCCAGGCAGAGTGTCCCTTCCCAACCTGCCTCGCGCTCACTCCAGCCCCCTTGAGGGACAGCCACAGGAAGGGACCGCGGTCTCGGCTGCTTACCGGGTCAGCAGGGTTGGAGGAGAACAAGTAGAAACCTGGAGGATGGCAGAGGAAGACCAGAGGTGTGAGAGCGGGAGTCCCAGGGCCGGGAAACTGAATGTCACACACGTGGCGGCCGCGCTGGGCCCCAGGCGTGGAGGGGGCTATGGGCCCAAGAGGTCATGCTGTTTGAAGGAGCTGGTGCTCCGCGCTCTGGGGTCCACTGCCCTGGAAACGTGCCCAGGACGGACAGCCTTTCTCTAGAATGGCTGCGGACCTGTATTTTGCAGAGTCTGGGTCTAAAGAGCCGCCCCAGCTCTGCAGACCAACAAAGCCCATCTGGGGGCTGGATCTGGAGCCCTGGCCTGGAGGACAGAGTGGCCAAGTCAAGTCACAAAGGGGTCCTGCTGCTCCCCTGAGCCAGGGTCCTAGGGAGGGGCACCCTTCCTGTCCCAAGATGAGCTGTCCCAAGTCCTTGGAATCCCGAGTGAGAAAAGGGGGACTCTCCACCCTCAGATGCAATCTTTCCCCCGAGAAGCACAATGTGATTCACCCAGGGCAGGTGGGAGGAGTGGGAGGACACGGCTCAGGACTGGGTGGTCATGAGGGCTCCTTGGTTCTGGGGCTGTCACCACCCAGGGGTCTCTGGAGACATGTCTCTGTGGCATGCTGGAACCCACCATGAGCCTGGACCAGGATGCCAGGTCACACTGCCTGTTTAAAGAGCCCAGACCTCTTCCAGGTGACAAAGGCTGGTCCCGGGGGGCCTCCTGTGAGGCTGGATCCTGAGCCAAAGGCACAGGCACATGCCGCAGGGGAACCAGGGCACCTGCGCTGGGCAGCACCAAACCACGCGCCGCAGGGGGTCTGAATGTGGCCAGTGTCCACAGCAGCAGACCAGGGGCACGCCCACTGTACTGAGGGCAGCGTCAAGGAGCTACGTCTGCACGTATCAAAAGGCATAAGCCCAACGGGCACAAGAGAGCAACCTGCCACCCGGGCTGCAGTGCCCACCTGGGGTTCTCAGCCACGTGGGAGGCCGAGGCAGGAGGGTCAAAGGTACGATCGACCAGCCTGGGCAACTTAGTGAGACCTTGTCTCAAAATAAAAAAGCGGGCTGGGGACACAGTGCAGTTGGTAGAGGGCTTCTCTCACACGCACAGGCCCTGGGTTCAATCCTCAGCACCGCAAAAAAAAAAAAAAAAAATGGCTTGGGGATGCAACTCAGTGGTAGAGGGCTTGGGGTTCAACCCCCAATGTTGCAAAAAAAAGAATCCAAGAGGCCCCAGAGACCCCCTCGCGTGAGACGCAAGAGGAAGGTGCCAGCTACCGACTGGGAACCACCCTCACCAGACGCTGGGTCTGGGGCACGCTGACCTGGGACTCGCAGCCTCCAGGACCGTGGGCATTACATTCCCATTTCCAAGCCACCCGGCCCACGGTCCTTGATGACAGCAGCCTGGGGACAGACACTGCCCACTGCGAACATCTTTCTGAAGGGCATGGGGTGCTCACCGAGGATGGCGAAGATGATCATGAAGAAGAGCAGCAGGAGCAGGATGTCCATGAAGGGGGGCAGGGACTGGAAGATCTGCCGCAGGTTGCTGGGGAGAGAGGGGCGTCTGGGCTGGGGGCCGGCCGGGGCCGGCAGGCGGGAACAGGGCAGGTGTGACAGACACAGCACCGGTCCCCGTGGCCCAGGTGAAGAGGGCCCACAAGATCAGTAAGGGCAGCAGGCCAAGCACAGGGCCTCGGGCACCAAGGTCAGCTCCCAGAGATACCCCAGGGCCCACCCCAGGGACATGATTCCCACCCTGCCATGGGCACAGAGGAGGCCCTGCTGGCCACTGTCACCACAGGTCCCCCACGAGACAGTCTTGGATGGTTCTCCAGAGACATGTGACTCTGGGTATGGGCTGGCATCGGTGTGGTCCTGGAGCCCGGGCACCAGGAGGGCCTGCCCGATCCACCATGATGCTTCACACGGCCACCTGCTGGGGCGGGTGCTGCTGTGCCCAGCAGGTGACAAGCAAGTGGCACACTCTGTGGGGAGCTGGCCCCAGAGGACAGCAGGCAGGACGGACAGGGCCCTGGACGTGGAGTCAGGGAAGCTCAACCCACAGGACCCGCCTGCCCGTGCCAGGCCAGCAGGGGCTCCAGCTCCACAGGCCAGAGGTCAAGGCCGCCCGCAGCAGGGCCCATCCACACAGCCCGCCCCAGGCCTTACCGCCGAACGCCGCCGCAGTACCGGCAGTCCACCAGGAAAATGCAGCGCAGGGCCCGGGTCACCCGCACGTGGGACGTCTGCCGCACCAGCACCACGATGGCCTCCGCGAACTGCACCACCAGGACGCAGGTCTGGACGGCAGGCCCAGGGCGTCAGGCCACAGCCGGCCCCCACCCCAGCGCACCCAGCAGACACGTGGCCCGGGGGGAAGCGTCCCAGGGACCGCTCCCCACCACAGCCCACCGTCACCTGCCCTCGGCATCCACCAGCCTCCCCCACGTCCACTCCCACCAGGAGGCCCTGGAGGTCTGGGCCCAGCCTGACCTCCGCTCCCTGGGGACATTCTCCTAGATGGGCATGCACACTTGTCACACTGCCGAGCGCTACCCCGACTCGCCCTACTGAGGCCCCCTCTGCCACACAAGAGGTGCACAATGCTGGGGCAGTCATCGCGGGGCCAGTAGGCTGAGCGGACCCTCCCTTCCGCTTGGCTGCATGTGCACTGTGCAGGGCACACACCTCCAATGACCCAGAGTGTGCCAACACGGAGCCCCAGGACTGTGCTGGTACCCCCAGGACACCTGGGGACGTGCCGAGGCTGGCAGGACCCAGGGTGACATCCGTGGGGGATTTTAAATCAGTCCAAAGATACAGGTTTGAAGCACCCACGGGAGAAACAGGCGCCACACAACGGGCAGACAGACACGTCACCTTGACCATGGTCCGCTTGTGCCGGACGAAGGTGTGGAGGCCCAGCCACCGCGATTTCATGCAGAGCTCGAACACCACCACCATCAGCGCAAACAGCTCCAGGGTGGCGTGGACCTGCAACCAGGCATGGGGCGTGGCAGGCCACCATTCAGGGCCACTTGTCTTGGCCCCACCCCCGGGGCCTGGGAAACTGCCAGGGCCCCTTCCTAACACACACAGCCCTGGACGCAGAGCGTCCCCAGAACATCTCCACACGTGGACTGTGCACCTGGTGAGAGGCCGGGGCCTGGGGCGCAAGGAGAGGAGCTGAGAGGCAACAAGACTCCCATCTAGTTCCAGGAAGGACGCCATGAAATTTACAAAGACCCAGAGAAGAACATTAAAGCAGCACGGAATAGGGACTTAAAAACCAAAGGGACAATCCAGGCTCTGAGAAGAAGTGGCCCCCCAGTCTCGTTCCCCAGTTGGCACCAGGACAAGAACGCAGGGAAGACTCTAAATGAGCCTCGTCTGCTCAGGGTGCTGTGTCCTCCAGGGGACAGGGTCCCCCTGAGGAGGGAGAGCCAGCTCCAGGAGCAGCAGTGGGGACAGGGTAGCTGGGGAAGGGTCACAAGGGCCTGGGGCCCAGGCTGCTCAGCGAGGGTGTCCTTTCCTGTTCCTGCTTGAGCAAGGGACATGGCACTCCCACACACCACCAGGCCCCGTGCTGACCAAGGGTTCTGCTGGGCAAGGCATCTGTAGGACTGGACCGTCCTCCTGCCACCGGTGGCCCCAGCTAACTGCCTTCTCGTCGAGGTTGGAGACAGTGTGCAGACAGTGGGGTGACCAAGAGGTGGGTACTGCTCCTGAGGGACACCAGTGCGACCCCTCCCTGACAGACTCCCGGGGAGGCTGCTGACCCCACTCACCCAGTGAGACTGTGGGGGTCCTCAGGGCTTCAGTGGCCGCCCTGAGCTTGTTTTAGGTCTGCTGCAGCCCCTGCCCTTCCAGAAGGTTCCCTCCTGCTGTCTGCCCCAGAAAAGCCCTGCTCGCTGGCCCCAGGCACTCACGTAAATGCCGAGCCGGAGTGCGGGGACGGCGGGCGCCTCGCACAGGGACAGCAGCAGCAGCAGCAGGGCAGTCAGCAGCTCCATCAGGTAGAAGAGGTGGTTGTGTACGAAGAGGTAGGCCCCCAGCGCCCTGGCGTCCTTGGGGTGGGTGAAGAACTTGTCGTTGTTCTCGCCTTCCTGAAAGGACGGGCGTGTGGGCGCGCCAGCCAGGGTGACTCCTGGTGACCCAGAGGTGCGGTGGCAGGGAGAGGGGCAGGCCCAGGCGAGGACTGGGAAGAACTCGGGCGCAGCTGGCCCCGCCTCACCCCCTGGACAGGCCAGAGAGACATCAGCTGCTCAAGACCCAGGGCGGGTGCCTGGTGGGTCCAGAGTGGGCACCCAAAAGCTCACGTGAGAAGCAGGACGGTCAGAGGAGGAGCCCCGGGTCAGGAGAGCCTTGACCAGCCAGCGCGCTAATCGCCTGCTAGGGATGGACTCGGGGTGACGGGGGCAGGGGGTGTGGCTGAGGAGGTGGGTTCTGGGGGTGCCCCGGGTTCACGATCTGTCCAATGTCCAGTCTCTGCCCCCTCTGCTTCCTGGAGCCATGTTCCCAGATGCTCCCCTGGGCCACGCTCTTCTGCCACGAGGTCCTGCCTCCCCTCAGGCCACCTGTGGACCGGCCCTCTGAAACCGGGAGCCCCAAATACACTTTTTCTCTTCTAAAGTTGTTTTTGTTGGGTCTTTTGGTCACAGCAACAAAGATGGAAATTATCTCAGCTTTCACAGGAAAATGGGCCAACACCGTGCCTTTGGGACCCTTCAAAGCCCAGGGAGAGCTGCCCGGCGGGGGACCCACGGACTCTTATTAACTCAGGCTGCCCGCATCCTAATCCCATTGTGTGGACAGATGATAATTGCACTTATTTATGGGGCATGATGATGTTTGGATATAGGATCTGTTATGGAGTGACAAAATCAACTAATCAATACTCACCCCTATTCACCTTTCTTTTTTTTTTTCTTTTGTAGTGGGAACATTTAAAATCTACTCTCTAGGGGCTGGGCTGGGGCTGAGCAATAGAGCACTTGCCTTGAGGCCCATCCTTAGCACCACATTAAAATACCTAAATAGATATTGTGTCCACCTACAATAAAAAAAGTATTTCAAAAAATTTTTTAAATTGACCCTCTTAGCAATTCTGAAACAGACACACTACATCATTAACCACGGTCACCACGCTGGACAAGGGTCTCAGGGACTCAGTCCTCCTGTCTGACGGAAGCTTTACTACCTCACCTGCTCTGCCCGCCCTGGTGACCCCGTTCAGCCTCCACCTCTGCAACCTCAGGGTAAGGCGGGCAGCGCTGCCTCCCTGTGGCGGCTCATTCCACATCACATCTCGCTCTCCAGGTCCATCCACGCTGTCGCTAATGACAGGAACTGGTCCCCTTTCGAGGCACACAGTCTATTCTGAGTCTACTCCAGGTTTCCTCTGTCCCTTCACCTCTCACGACTCCTGGCCCCGCACCCTTGGCCACTATGAGTGGCTGCAAGGACCACGGGCGCACACGTCTCTCTGACACACTGACATCAGCCCCTCTCAGAAGGGCCCAGAGGTGGGACTGCAGGGCACAGCAGGTCTGCTCGGCTTCCTGAGCACCTCCAGGTTTTTCCACATCCTGCTCGTGAGGGTCCCTCCTCACCAGCACACACCCCAAGGCCACCGCTGGCCCTCCTTGTTACCATCAGCCTTTGGGGGCTTCCTTATGGTCCCTGGAATTGGTGGACACAGCATAAGGGGCGGGCGTCCGGCCTCAAGGGTCCATCCCCCACCTGGGCAGCCAACCTCGGTGGCTTCGCGGGCACTTCCCCAGCCGCTGGGCTGCGGGCACTGGCTCTGTCTTCTCGAGTGGCGGAGGCTAGTGCCTGCCTCTGACCCACAGCAACCTCTGGAGACATTTGTGGTGGTCAGTGTGAAGGTTGAAAATGCTCCCGGCAGCTGCAGGGTCCATCCCAGCGACCACCCTCACCATCCTCATGGAGGCTCCTCCTGGGAAGGCCTGGGCTGCGGCTTGCAGGGGATCCGGAGCAGGTCACTTCCTGAAGCTGACCCGCTGCTGCCCTCCTGAGCAACTGCAGACCAGCGGGGAGGCCACAAAGGGCCCACACCTCCAAGCCAGAGGCGGCAGGCCGACGCAGCCTGTGGTCTGTGCAGCGCCCCAGGGACAGGGACAATAGGCACAGTGGCCAGGAAGCTTCTCGGCTGAATTACTTTAGAAAATGTGACTCTTGCACAACTTCTCCCAACAAGTGGCCTGAAAGCCAGAGGAAGGCAGTGCCGCAGGGGCTCCGACTTGAACTCTAGAACCTGGAGACGCCGAACAGGAGACGGGGACACAGTCTCCACCAACAAAGCCCGAGGAAACCCTTCCCGGGGGGACTGGGTTCCGATCTGAGCCTAAAGGACAACACGGGGCTCGTCTCCTGCCTGCTTTGCGAGAGCCACACGAGGACACGTCAGGAAGGCCAGTGGGATGGCCTCTCCGCTCCCTGGGGCTCAAGTCCACACAGATGTGAGCGCTGGACATGTGGCTCCCGAGGGTGAGGCACTGGGGAGGAACGTGGGAGAGGAGGAGAGGGGACCGTGACCAGCCAGGGTCACCAACTCTCACACACCAGCAGCCCAGTGCAGGGGCCCCGCTGCAGCTCAGCCATGGGCCAAAAGAGGAAGCCACCTGACACCAGCCGAGACTCCACAAGTGGTCACCATGCTGCCCACGGGGACCCAGGCTGCCCAAGCTTTTGTTCTCTAAAACTGATGCATGTTTTGGTAAAAATAACTCAAATAACACACAGACGTAGAAGGTGGTAAGACTCCCATCAGGGTTGGGGCTGTGGCTCAGTGGTAGAGCGCTCGCCTTGCACGCACGAGGCCCTGGGTTCAATCCTCAGCACCACATAAATAAGTGAAATAAAGGTGTTGTGTCCAACTACAACTAAAAAATAAATATTAAAAAAAAAAATAGAATCCCATCAGCCAGAGGTCACCAGTCCTGTCTTAGGTGAACACTTTCCAGATGTGTGGCTCTGCATGCGCGCACACTCACACGCGCACTCACATGCACACTCTCATACACACATACACTCACATACACACATATACTCACACATGCACACTTGAGCACACACGGATACATACACACATGTGCGCACACACACATGCACACTCACAAGCACACACATGTGCACACACACACATGCATACACACACACACACGCCACAATAGGTACATAAAACATTCCATAAAAATGATCGCGACACATCTGATGTTCCATCACCTCTATTTCCACAAGTACCATGGCCATTTTCAAGTGGATACAATGTGGCCAGAAGGACAGATGTGCTGGGGACAGCTGTGCTGGGGACAGCTCTGCCCCGGGGCTGTGTGCAGGCTGACCAAGGACAGCCCAGGCTCCACCACTGAACCATGCCCCAGCCCCAGATGGACAGTTTAAACCCACCCTGGGGACTTGCTAGCAGGGGTCTGGGCATCGCTTGGCCTCTCTGAACCTCCACTGTGACGGCTGTAAAGCGGGAGGTGATGGCGCCAGCCCGGGAGCCTGGTGTGAGGACAAGCAGGTGCCCCCACAAAGTCCCCCACTCCATCACCAGCACTCTCCCCTGCTTAGGGAGAGAAGGAATTACCAGATTCCCGAGTCCCTGGCTCTGCCCTCAGGGAAGGGACACTAACAGGCGGGCCCAGCTCCCTACCTCGACCCTGCACTGTGTCTATGGCCTCTACCTGAATCAAACATCTGCAGAGGAGCCAAGGCACCTGTGCGGCTCTGTGTGAAAACACAGACACAGACAGACAGCTGGACAACACCGAGTGGACACCTGGACTGAATGACATCTTTTTTTTTTTTTTACATGACAATACAAATCCTTGCAGGGGAGAACTGCTTCCGAGAAAAGAGATGAGGAAAATCATCATTCAAACGAATTTAAGAAACATCCTATTCTTCACCCAAATCCTCACTGAATGAGCACCAGAGACCAGAATCCGACTGTGACAAGATCAGGCACAGAGGCCGAGAGGCTGGGCTGGTGGTGGAGGGTAGATCTCCAGGGGACAGACTCTTGCTGGCTGAGGAGGCCCCAGGAAACGTGACCCCTCCCACCCAGTCGCCCATCCCCCAGTCTCTGCAGTAAGAGCGCGGGTTCACCATGCAGAATCAGGGAGCGCCACAAGGGAACAAACCCAGGCCTTCACAACAGCTGAGTGAATGAGGCCGACTCCCCCGGTGTCATCTAAAGTCACTAGGATGACGTTTACACGAGGTCATAATACAAGAGAAAAGCGTGTGCTGCGCACTATTAACAAAATGCAGACTATGGCTCGGGGTGTGCTGGGGTGCAGCGCCTGCCCAGGGTGCACAAGGCCCTGGGCGCCTCCCTGACAAAGGATACCAGCGGATCACACAGCCACAGGCAGCACGTGACTTGTTTTGGATATGGAGTCCTGCTCTGTTGCCCAGACTGGCCTTGAACATCTGGGCTCCAGCAGGCCCTCCCCTGGCCTCCTGAGGAGAGGGACTACCAGAGTGACCCTCCAGGCCTGGCTCTGCCCGGCGGTGGCTTGGTTGGTTTTCTTAGGGGCACTGGGGTGGAGCCCGGCTCCTTACCACTGAGAGTCACCCCAGCCCTTCTCATGTTTGATCTGAAACAGGCTCTCACTCAGCGCTGGACTGGCCTTGACCTTGCAGCCCTCCTGCCTCCTGAGCGGCTGGATTCCAGGTGGGTGCCCCTCGCCTGGGCGTGCGTACTTAATACAGAAGGAAACCATGGGGACAGGACTGGCCGGGTGCCCGTTCCTTCATTTCCTCCTCGTCCCTCGGTTTGTGATGACGAGCATGTATCACTTTTACAGAAAAGTATTACTGTCTTATTTTTTTCCAAAAAAATGAACAAACCAAAACCGTGCTACGAGGTGGAGGTGAGAGCAGCCGCAGGCTGGATGGGAAAGGATGAAGGTCCTCAGTCCCCCTCCGCCAGCAGACCTGCCCCAGGACGAAGGCCATAAAGCAAGGGCGCCCGGCAAGTCAAGAGGGCAGCATGGGGACTCTGCCCCCCAGGGGCGGGCCAGGAGACACTCACCTGGAGGTAGATGGCTGCCTCTTGATAGTTCATCTCCCAGTTGTGGCTGGAGGGGCTGGAGGGGGGACTCTCTCCGCCAGAGACCAGATTGGGGGCCCGGGAGCCGTGGGCAGCATGGCTGCCCCCATCTGCATGGGGAGAGGAGAGACATTAGAGAGCAGGCCGCAGGCAGAAGGGGCAGCAGTCACGCCCGCTCACACACACCTGTCACCTGCAAGGAAGCGCTCACCCTGTGTGCTAAGGACAACAAGAATCGCGAGGGCTGGCCACCGCTCGGTCTCTTTTAAGTGAGGAGACAAGGACACAGGGGGTGCAGTGCGTGGGAAGGAAGCCCACCTCTGCTTATTCTCACAGAGAGGAGCCCCGAAGGAAGAACGAGAACTCCGAGGCGGGTGGCCTGGGGCGGCGAGGGGGACCTGGGGCGGTGAGGGGGGCCTGAGGCAGGGAGGAATGGCAGGGCCCAGCCTCGGGGTCCTCTTTCTGTAGACTTCTGTTGAGATCCTGCTTCTGCAAACATCTAAAGGCCTGGATGTGCCCCTGAGGCAGGGTCAGCCGCTGCCTGTCCTTGCTGACATGGGCGCCCTCCAGCGCCTGCTGGCCACTCTGGGGAACACCCCCTCCCTGCCCTTTGTCCACACTGCCTGGCTCTGGCTGAGCCACCCTGGCTCCCAGGCAGGGGACCTGGGCTAGGCAATAAGAGCCCCCGTCCTGCTTGGCACAGGGTGCGCAGGTGTCGGTGCTGACCCCCGCCCAGCCAGCCAGGGCTGTGCTTGAAACTCCTCCCACACCAATTCAGGGGGGCTCTTTCCCTCCTCAGCTGCCAAGAGACGGACATCACCAGAGAACGGCAATAGCTGGAGATAAGGTGGCTGCATCCTGGGGACCCTTAACTTCCAAAACCCGAGGCGATAGGATCTGAGTGTGTTTGAGTTGGATTTGTCTCAAGAATGTGGAGTCTCCACTGAACTCATGGGAAACCAGGGCCCCAGGAAATGGCTCTTGGCCTGTGAATTTATTGGGGAGAAGTGAATCGAGGGTGAAGATTCACACCCTGGATGATACATCTGTGATACACCTGTAGGAAGATTAGGAAGATAAGGAATGGAGGGTTTGGCTGCTGCCATGGGCACAGTTGGCAGGAAGCCAGCAGGTAAGGTGACAGCCAGCAGGAAACAGCAGGAAGACAGCACTCCCGGGGCTGCTGCTCACAAACAGGAGAGGGCAGGAACTGGCAGGAGAGGGCGGCCATGCCGGGCCATCTGCAAAGCCCTGTCCCTCCCTGAGTTTGCAGGCAGGAGCCAGCATGTGGGCAGGGCGTGCCTGACCCAGGATGCAGCCCAGGAGTCAGGGGGGGCGCTCCGGCATGGCGTACCCTCTCCTAGCAACCTGTCTCCACCACGTCTTATCAAAGTACTGGCCCTGTCCACGGAGTTTGAGAAACACAACTACAGAGCGTCCCTGCCCAGATTCTGGTGTATCTTCTGCCGTCTGACACAGTGACTGTCACATCTGGAAGGACCCCGAGGACTGCTGCACTGAGGCACACTTCTCCATGGGGACACTGGGAGTTGGGAAGGGTGCGATGTATGCGGTGCAGTGTGGTGCAGTCGGGCCAACAACCACAAAGTCAGGTCTTCCGGCTGCCAATCTAGAACTTTCCTCAGCACCATCATTCATCACTCACCCCTCCCAGAGGGACAGGAGGATGGCTCTACACACCAGCTGTCCCCCATGGGCCAGCGTGGACTGACAGCATGCAGCTGTGGGACCGGTTTAGTAACTGTGACCCCAAACAAAAGTGACAGGTGGTGCAGAGACTGTCCCTCGCCCTGGCCAGAGCTTCCAGACACACACCTCGGGCCATAGGTGACTTGTGGACAGACAGAGGGCTGTGCGGGTGCTGGGAGCGTGTCTTCCCTGGCCAGCAGTGGGACAGCCACGTCAGCAGAGCCTGGGGCAGCGGGGCCTCAGGAAGCCAGAGGGTGGTCCCTCCCAGGGTGCCGCAGGACAGCCCAGGCTGGGTGTGCCTGGACCACGAGCTCTCTGAGAATGTGTATCGCAAACATGGATCAAATTTTAACGTCTAAATAAGTATAAGAGTTTAGGGCAACCGAACAACAAACGTAAAAACCTCTCCTCGGTGGCTGTGCGCTCTGTCTGCGGGGACCTGAGCCTCCTCTCTGGGCCAGAGCAAGCCTCTCCTGCTCCCTGCTGCCTCCACCCCAGAGCAGCCTCTGGTGGCTGGACTCTGAATCTATTGTAACAGCATCCTCAAAACCCCAGGCTCCTGGTACCTCTCCTTTCCCTGACAGGTCTCCCTGGGACACAGCTACAACCCTGGGTTATGGGGCCTGCGGAAGGCCCCCAACACCCCTGTGGTCACCTCGTCCCCGCCTCCCTCCGCTGGATGACTCCCTGTCACTCTGGAACATGCCTGGAACTTTCCTCCTACTGGTCCTTGCACCTCTGGTCCCCTCTTCCCTGCCTGGCCCCGCCTCCACCCCCTGTGAAGCCACACCCGCATCAGGCTCACCAGCCTCTCTCACTGCCTGGTGGCTGCATTCCTACCTCCTCACCTGGGCGCCTGTTTCCCAGCCTGGAACGTCAGCTGGGGACAGGGACATCTGTATTGTTCACTGTGGCACCTGAAGCCCAGCACAGTATGGGGCAGGAAGCACAAGGGGTGATCCTGGAGACCCTGCCCTAGAAACCCCAGATGCTGCCACACGCAGCTGGGACTGAGGCAGGGAACAAGAAGCAGGCGCTGGCCCAGAGGCCTGGGGAGGATGGACCACCCAGGGACCCAGAGAGCAGGGACACGATCTCTTTGAATTTGTAAATATCATTCTTCTGAAAACTGGCTGCAGAAAGATGATTTTGCACATGGTAATTCAGGGCGGAAGCTTAAAGAGAGAAGCAAAGGGAAATTGGGAAA